TAGCCCTCTAAACATCACCCACTAGTTCCCAGAATTTGCCCGTTTATACGCTTTATGCGCCTGGTTAATTGATTATAAGCCCTGAGCTTTTAGGGTAGTCTATTCAAACGCGACACATATATGCATAAAAATAAATTTTACATGCACCTCTTCCTCCGAAAGGTTTTTTTCACCCTAAATATTCTCATTGAATAAACTCAATGATAAAGTCAAAATAATTCCTACAATCTTGATGCCATTTCAACTACTGGAATAGTTCAAGACTCTTAATACTTCCAAATGTTATATGTAAACTAACATCAGAATGTCCAGTCTGTTTCCACTATCAGACTCCTTGACTAAAAAAATCAGTAAATCTAGACCACCTAAAATAAATAAAAGCCCATAAAGCAACAGGAAAAAATTTAGATAATGCTCCTTCTATTTCCAATGCATGCATATCTCATGTTTAGCTCAGAACCAACCAAACACTTAATTACGCTTACCGAGTAGTACTCAAAGAACTCTACAATTTCTACAGCAGACACCAGTATACGTAAGTCAACGGCTATAATACTACTCTCCCACAATAAGTTAGTTTCCTGCAGCAACTACAAGGGTTACCCAAAGCAGAACAAAATTATTTCAATTTTAGTTACCTCTAATTGAACAATGTTCATCACCTGAGATCCTTCTCAACACATACCCTCCCGTGAAAAAGTTTAGTACCAAAAAAGTCCTAAAGAAGGAAGACAGAAGATTAAAGCAAATTAAAAAAAAGAAGATTGAAACAATAATGATAATCTGATTACCACACCTGATTTTTCGTGCAACACAAGTTGCTATAAAAAAAAAATTTATTTGCCGCAACCGATGAATAATTAACCAACAGGTCTCTCCAGCACAACGTGTTCCTGTTTGAACACAAATATTACAGTGCCAAAGAAAAAAGTACTACAGAAGGCTAAATTTAATCATTGTATTACACATCATTAGATGACACCAGAATATGCAAGAGATAAAAATTTGATTGCCTAAATCTCACACACTGACCTACACATTTCCAAAATACGGAAGTAAATAAACAAATGAAAAATAATTACTCGTAAAACATTCAATCCCGTTACTCAGTAAAAATCACAATAAAACTGATAAATGATAACCGGACATAACTAAAACTATTAAATTAATAAATCAGTCCACAAGCCACTGAAATACAGTGTATCATTGTAAAACTAATAAACGTCTTAAAAAATACTCACAGAACCAAAATGTTGCAATCTCCTAAAATATTTCCTAGAATATCAAATGATTCACAGATAAACCGTTACACAAGATGAAAACCACTAAAAACCGTTTGCGCCTTCTTCAGAAGGATCATCACGCAGTAAGACTAGCAAAAGGTATCCACAGTTTTCACTCAAAATGCTAACTTCTGGCGCTACCAGATCGACTAACTTTGTTGTCGTCTGATGAGGTGGAAAAATGTGAACAGAACATTCAGGAATAACGACAACTCCAGCTGCCTGCCTCTCAAGTAAATAATTGATAACAGATTCCAGTGAACAGCTCACAGCGACAGCAATCATTACTGCTACCTCCGCCTGTGAAAGGTTGGCAAGTTTCTCCTCTATGGTCTCCGTATCAGACAATGGGGTTCGTTGGGTAAGGACCAACTTATACGGTGCACCGTTTTCAGCTGGATTACGCATCAAATTCTGTATCATATGTTCAGAACCATAGATGCGGTACAATTTGATTGGGAAATAGTGTCTTCTAAAAACAAGATACCCCTGCCAAGTACAAGCAATGTTTTTCTGTAACTGCTCTAGATTACCAATCTCTTCGCGCGAAGAACTAGCAGATGAATTGTCTTTAAGAAAAAACCGCTTAATGGGAATTTCATCTGTTGAGGCATCTTTTTGTACTTCAACCAAAGATTCTTCTAAACTGCATTGTCGCTTCCGTCTAAGCCTTAGAAAGTTCCTAAAACGAAAAGACAGATACTTGACGGAAAGAGACACATAAAAGCGAAGAACTCAAAGGTATAAACATTTGCTGCATTAATCAAAACCTCGCAAAGTCAACGAAAATGCAGTGATCAGGTCCACCAAGCGGATAATTTTTCATTCCACGACAAGCATCGATCGCTGCAGTTTCGTTTGAAAACCGTATATAAGCGTCGTTTTCACCTTCATCGTAATCCAGTTCCTCAATCAACCCATATCGATCAAACTCCTAAACGCCATTTTCTTTTTAACATCTTTTTAAAGCTATAATGGAATGATAAAAAACCACTACTACTCCTTATAACACCAATTACCGCCATGAGCAGTTCCTTAGTAGTCCAGTAACCAAGGTTGCCAACCCAAATTGTTTGAGAGGGGAGCGATTTTCCAAAACCAATTTTACATTTGTTAGCTCCAGGTCTAATCGGTCTGCGATTTTGGTTATATTTGGCGCTTATTGCTTGTTCGATAGTCTGAGAAAAAAAATAAACTACAAAATGCGTATGGGTAAAAAATAATATATACAATAACTAGATATGGAACTACTGGGCTGATCTTCAGCCAAAAATTTATCTAGTTTAAAATAATTTCAGTTGATAGAGCATTACTGAAAAGTTACTTCAAACAGCACAAATGCATAGGGAGAAAGATCAGCTGCTGTTGGTTGCTTGATGTCAACATCGACAACATGGCCATATGTTTCAAACACTTTCTGAATTTCTTCTGCAGTGACATTTTCAGGTAAATTACCAACGAAGAGCGTGCGAGTCGGCTCGACTTCTTCTTCCTTGCTATGTACATTCAAAATATCGGCAGTAATTTCCTTCACTTTACGTCCCATGGCCGGAGTTTCTCTGAAGAAAGTTTAAAATTCAGGAAGATGGAAATAAAAAAGGACTGATGACAAATGAACCAGAAAGCAACTTTAAGTACTGTTTGAACTGTAAAGGACTGCTCAAAAAAGTTTGTTAAAAATTAAAAAATGAAATATATAAAGTACACAAGAAAAAAATGTGTGAGTTACCTTTGCATATCTTGAAAATCCTTCTCTCTATTCGCCCTTGCAGCTCTGCAATACCGATCTGGACTATATTTGCCATACTGGTCACGAATAATACCTGCTGGTTCCAAAAATATCTTTTTGCCGAGCAGTTGTTTTAAACGTGGAATCATCGTATGCCTTATTTTGTGAGCAGCATCACGCCTCTCAAAGTTGATATAAGCAAGTCGCATTTCTTTATTTGGTCGATCCACAAATTTTATCTGAAACAATCATGTGCAGTATATTTTGATGAATTTAAAGTAACTTGTGCATACGCAAATGTAAGAACTTAACCTCAAATAGACCAAATTGACTGAGTTCATTTTCCAATATGCTCGATACTTCGTCTCTTGAAAGTTTGTAATCATAGTCAGACAGTCGGAGGTTCATATATTCGATTGGGGAGCGGGTACCAAATCGTTGTCTGGATTAAATCACATTTGTCAAAAAGCTGTTTTAAAAGCCCAAAAAGGATCGAATTTGTCATTAGTTGCTAAAAAGCAGACAAAATTTTCAAAAGGAACGATTTCTGCTTACTGATATTCGGTTAGCTTTTACGTTCTGAAAAATAACCTGTAGTGGTCGGAGAGTTCGTATTGGCTTTGACTGCTTGATGTCGATTCTTCTCGTCTGCTTGATGTCGATTCTTCTCGTCTGCTAGTGGACACATTGTCTTCACGATCAAAGAATTTAAACCTTGGTACGCGCGTCCGGCTACGTTTCTTGTCGTCTTTCCCCTTAGTAATTCTTTTACAGTCTTCTTCCTTCTTACCCATAGTTTTTTTCAATTTCTAAAGATAAAAAGTTTCAAATTTTAAATGAACCTCTAATCATGCACTCTTGTTTTCACCCGTTACTGAATCATCTCACAGGCTTTCACATTCTTAACACTGCAGTATTTCTTATTTTTCTTTTTTCATCTTGAAAGCTCTTTCCATATTGAAATTAACTTGAAGTTTTTTCTCAACAAAAGAAAAAAAAACAATATATTTAAAATAAACAACACAGAAAACCAAAGAAGTCGTCAGCAAATCAAGTAAAATTTTGGTGGTTGTCCTATCTTAGCCTCGGCGAACTCATCTGACTACTTCTGGTTAGAGATCAGCTAGACCAAACACCGCTTGATCAATTCGAGTGCAGATGACGTCATAATGTTACCGCTCTCCCATTCACACGAGCGACCTGTTTGTGGCTGAGGGAGTCTCGTTCAAGCAGCCCTACTTGCAAAACACTTTCCAAAACCTCATTTTCTTCTTCGCTCGTTCCATTCTTTTTCAAATTTTTCTTACGCTCAATCTAATTTTCAAGCTTTTTTTTTTTGACAAGTTTGATAATGTGACTTTGATGTAAGTTTTCTGGGTTACCTTATGTGGCTAAGTCGTCTTTCGGCTCGTTTTTTTCTCTTTAACAAAAATGCAGTCACGGAAACACTGAATAGCATTAAGCAGGTATGCCTTTTTGACTAAACTGTATCAACATTTTAGCGTTCCCCCAAATTAGATGAAATATTTTATAAAAGCTGTTCCGACATTAACGAGGTGATCTTCAATCTGAAAGATCATTGCACTGGTCGTGCAACACAGATTTTCAAAGAGACGCTCGAAGAAATTGAAGTTTGAATTTTTTTTTGCGTCTGTTGCGGCCTTCAGATATGCTCGGCTTTATCGTCTTTTTTTCTACCTTTTATTCGCTATTCTTAATCGTTTTAAAACTTAGGTGATTTAAAGATGGCTCCTTCAAATGCAAAAACGCTGTTTCTAGTTCTGGATTTTTAACAAGTTTATATTACTGGCCACACTGTGTCGGATATCGTGTTGTCTATTTTGGACAAACTAAAACTTGATTTTAAAATGTAAATTTTCTTCCATAAGCGAAGAGGAAAAAAGCGTGAAAAAGAATTCGTTAAAAAACCTGAGTATTGCATTGCAGAAATCTGGTAAGACCTTTGATAACGGGCGGAAATTAAGGATAAATGGTTGAAGAATCACTCCAAGTTTAAACTGTTCTTTTCTAAAAACCTAAAAAAATTCTTAGTAATTTGGCAAATAAGGTTAAAACAGTCACTGAGAAAAAGGAAAACAGGACAGAAAGTAAATCTTACAAGTTAAATCAACGAACACTTGTCATGAAGAAGAGCTGTTGACGAGTGAAAGCCATCATTTGATAGTGGTGTAGATCCACCCTTTTATTATAGATCATTATTAAAAAGTACGTGCTAAAAGTGTCCACTTTTCTTTGCCATCGCTTTTTTTTTTTCAGCTATTGTCACCTCGAACCCCGTAAGCTACTCTTTTGCAACGCTTAACTCCGGACTAAATTCTAAGGAAGATTCGGTAGTCATTTGCCAATCGAATAGAAGATTCTGCAACTGCTTGGTTATGATCACACGCTTTCGAGGAATGAAGTGAAACGAACTGTGAAGCAAAAATTCAGACAATTTGGTTTATTTGAAGACAATATTGCATCTCGCGCACTTGAAATCCGTGCAGACTTACTGATTCACAGAAAATTTGACTGCTCCAGATGAAGGTCATACATCGACCAAATGAAGAAGAAAGGCTTATCCAAATTGACTTTGTGAAGCATAATACAGCTTACACAATAAGTCACACCATGATTCCGAGCTTAAAACAATTGCAAGGCGAAAAAACTTTTTTGGACTTGGCAGGTATCATCAGAGGTCAACAAGGCAAATGCGTCTCAGGCCGTTACAACAGAACTATGCAGCCAGATAGAGAGAAGGAAACTCAGGAGATGCAAAAATAATTGGCACCTGGTTTTTTTTCTTTTTGGAAGCTTCAAAGTCTTTTTGTGTCTTTACTTTTTTTTGTCATTTTTGCAAGCGCCAATATGCAGTTTTACTTTTTGTGCAGCAGTAGAAACCCTTAAGATATTGTATCTCTAACTCTTCTTTTTTTTTAAATTTTTTCTTCAAGTTTTTTGATTGAAGAGAAACCCCAGCTTCAAAAATAAAATGAATAAGAGTAAAATATGAAAAAAACGGCAAAGAAGATGTTGGCGAACCGGCACGCAAACTCCTTGTTGGTTTCTGGCTTGCAGACATTACTGCAGATGGAGGTTAAAGCGTTTTCAAAAAAGTTATGGCCGAGTTGTCGACGTGAACATTAAGAAATCAATAAAGAACGATGCTGCTGCTTTTGCGTTTGTGCTTTTTCAAGTAGCTCCCAAGTTAAGTTTGTCACTTAAAGTCAACTAGAACAAGGCTTTTGTATGAAGCTTAGTTTAATAGTTTTTATAGTTTCGTTATTGCTATCGTTTTTGCGTTTATATGGTCTACATTTTACTTTATTCTACTCTTTCTATTGTTTCGCTTACAGTGTCAAGCAAACAGTGAATGGTAAATTTAATCAGAACGATAGATCGATTAAACCTGGAGCGAAAAAATGCAGAGTTGGCTCTGGAAAATTGCTTCTATTCAAAACACTTTGGACTGACAATCTTGGTTCTTGGTTTACGAGGGGACAGCTTATTGCGGTAATTAGCATTATGAAAAGCAGTAGTAGTTTCTTATTATTTCATTAAAGTCTTTAAAGAATGTTAAGAGGAGAACAAAATTTAGAAGTTTGACTGATATGGGATGATTGACAAATTAGACTGTGGGGAAGGTAAGGACGACGCCTACATACGCTTTGTGCGTAAAACTTCTGTCGTGGATGCTAATTGTGAATTGAGGAATTATCCGCTGGAGGACCTAATCACCCCGTGATTGTCGACTTTGCAAAGTTGTTTTTGAGCATTTTCTTTTTTTTTTTCTTTTACTTGTTGCTCTGTTGACTCTTCAATGCTTCTGTTTTCAACGGTTTCCAAAGACCTGAGCAGAAGCGACAGCATAGTTTTTAGGGGTATTCCCACAAAAAAAACAGGTCGATGAGTTCAGTGAAGATAATTCTTCATAAACAATTTGTTTTCAAAAGCCATTCTGGTTCCACTAACAGTTTTTCATGAAGTAGCATCGATAATCTTGAACTAAACTGCGGAAAAAACTTGCCTGTACTTAGCAGGGATACCTTGTTTTTAAAAGGCGCCAGTTCGCAGTCATAGTGTATCGCATTTATGGATCCAAACATGTGATACAAAATTTGGTGCGCAATCAAGCTGGAGACGGCACACCGTATAAGTTGGCCATTACTCGGCGAATACCATTGTGTAATAAGGAGACAGTGGAATACAGGGTTGTCAGCTTTCCAGAGAAGAAGACGGTGATAATGGGTGCTGTTGCTTTGAACTGTTTCTTGGAATCTGTCATCAACCATCTGCTTGACAGGCAGGCAGCTGGAACTGTCGTTTTTTCAAATAGTTCAATTTACGCTTACCCTCCTCATCAAGTGGCAAGCAGGTTACTGTGTTTGTTGGCATCATGATCATGTTCTTGACCCTAAAGAATCGTTGATCCGGTATTGACTTGTCGTTTGGGGTTTTTTTGTTTGTACGGATTCTTGAATTTCTAAGCAGGGACCTGATCTTTTGCAATTATGAGTGGTATCAGAAACGCTTGCCAGTGTTTTTTCCTCAAACTTTTCTGGTACTTTATATAACTGTCAAAATTTCTGGATTTTCAATAGCAAACAATGTTTTAACGTTCGTGAGTAATTGCTTAAGTCATAATTGTTCACTTATTCGCTTAACTTTTTTTACAATTTTTCACTTGCTATTTTTTATTGATTCACAAGCGCCAAATTGTGTTGATTTTATTTTCGTTTAACGTTAATTTTTTGGCAGACAGGGTTAGTTGTTTTGGCGTATTACTTTTTTAATAATTATTTTCGTTTCTATGAACGTAATTTTTTAGGTCTACTCATGATGATTTAGAGGTCACTTTTGTCTCTATTTAGGTATTGGTTGTAATAAATAAACCCACTTCTTTGTTGTGGCATTTACAAAGTTACTTAACTCCTGGGAATTAAGGAATTTGGTAGCTGAGGCTTATTTACAGCTTTAGTATTTTTTACGAAGTGGTTTTTTTAATATTAGTCATTCAAGTTTCTTATGTTATCACTGGTGGAAATTTTTAATCTACAGTAATTTTTTAAGTTAGCGGTTGAGTACCGCCAGATTTATTTTGTATATCTTCTAAATGTATTATTGAGTAGTTTTTAATCAGACGGGTTGAGAATGATTATGCGGTAGTGGTGGGTTTTAGCGGTAGAATAATTTTGGGAAGTTTTTCAATTAACCACCTGAATTTGAAGGATAGTATGTCAAGGAGATTGTAGATCATAGTTTATAAATTGTTTCGCGACGAACCGTAGCGTCGAAGGTTGCTTGATAGATCGGTTTTGATTAGGCGATACTCTAGACGTTAAATGATTAATACTTCTGGTATTTGCAGGGGTTTTTATCTAAACATTGTCTTTTAGTTTTTGTTGGGGTGTGAATTGTTTGTCATTCCTTCGTAAGTCGTAAACACGGGTTTCTTCGGAGTCTAGTAGTCTGCTCTTTTTTTATTATTGTAGTCGAAAAGACTATCGTCTTTTGAGGAACATTAGTTGTGGTTGTTGTTGCTGTTCATTGTTTGATTGCCGTTACGTTACACCGATAAGTTTTGACAGTTAAATTTACTGTTGCAGTGCGAGAAAAAGAATACGTAAATGGTCATTGAAATAATCGGCGGTGATTTGATGACAGTCATTTTGCACTCAGTCTCGCTGTATTAATGGCTGAAACTTAGATTAAATTTTGGTCTTTTAAAATGATTGCTGGATTTATATGGATTTGGTACGTTCACCTACGCTTATTTTTTCTAAACTTCTCGGTTCAACAAGGAATTTTAATTCTGTGATATAATTTTGCAGTATAATAATTTGTTTTCTGAATATGTTCTTGCACTCATGCTTTTTTATATGCTTTATTAATATTGACTTACGTAAACGATGCATTGGTTACTCGAAGATTCAAAATTGCTTTTTAAAAGTAGTTGCATAAAGTGCTACTAAAATTGACGGCAAGAAAATTAAGTACTACTTTTTTGTTTCTAATCTCTTCCAAATGTCGAAGTAGTTTCGCTGACAAAACTAAGTTTGGATTTGTGCTAAAAAGATTGGGATTTCCAAGCAAAATTATTTGGCATAGTTATGTGCTTGCGTGATTTTAAAGCCTTTGCCAAGGGATCTGTAGGAGTAGTAAGCTCTTTGAAAGGGAAAGTGAATTCTCAAATTTTGATGTACTCAAATTATCTTCTTGCGAAGGAGGAAATAGGTGGAAAAGGAGAAGGGCGACAGTCTCTTATTACCACTTTTACGAAGCGCAACTTATTGGTTCGATGTTTTTGGTGAAGCTGTCGTACTTGTTCTTTCTTTCCTTTTCGTCCCTCTCCATAGCCACTGCACATCCTTTCAATTCTTCTTGCACATCCGATCATTTGGTATGATTTTTAATGCGGTTATTACTCTTTAATGGTATTAATAATGCGTAAGAACAAAGATTTGCAAGGGAACTAGTACTATACTATGACAATGAACTTTTGGCAAATACCAATGTAACGAAGTTCAGCAAAAGTCAACAATCGGTTTAATACTCCAGCAAATTTGAATAAAACTAAATTCAGAACGAGGAGGAATACAGATAAAAGTCGAAAGATAGGGAGAAAAAAAATAAAGAAGAAGACTAATTAGGGGAAACAAGAACAGATTACATTTCGACAAACTCAGCAATTTTATCACAGTTGAAATGCGTTTCAATCTTTTTTGTGCTTTTTTTATAAAATTTTCTGCTTTTAGTGTTAAACACATCATAAGATATAATAAAAGAAAACAAATTTAGGACAAAATTCTTTTTCTTTTTGCTATCTTACACTTTAATTTTTCTTTTCTTTCTCTTCCCAATTTTTTTTTTCTTCGTTGGTTTTAAGAATTGGAAAGAAGAGGAAAAAATTATATGTAAAAATGATTAAAAAGCAACGGTTCATATAAATAAAGGTGACGGTTAAAACCGAATTGAGTCAAATTGAACTGAATTTTCAATCCTATAATCTTTTTCTTTTATTTCTGTTCAACGATTGTTATCATATTCATCAACAAGTTTTTAATAAAAATAATAATAACGTCATTGTTAACGTCTCATATAATTATTAGTATTCAGCATCATCATTATCGACGTGGCACACGCGACCGGAAAGCTGCTTGCATGAAACAAGAAGGAATTGACTTCTCTTTTCACCAACATAACAACAATAAGAATATATAAATCATATATGAATATTAAAACACAGCAAACAGACACATACACGAAAAAAGCTCTAAACAGATAAATTCTTGACATTGAGAAGGATGGAGAGAAAAACAAGTACACGTTATTCCGCAAACGGGAAGTAAGGGGGTTGAAAGAATGAGAAACATTGTTCCACAATCAATATGGGCAACGACGGCATATCCTGCTTCGGCTACGAGCTATTGACATCCGTCTGAACAAAAATGCTTTGGCAAAACGATGCCTAACTGAAAGGTGATCATACGCAGATGCGGTTACAGGAGAACGATATTCGAAATCTAAACGATGTCAGGCCGAAGAGATCTGAGATCTAAGTAGACTGATAATTTGATCCTTTTCTTTCAGTTCTTTTCGCAGTGCTTCATTTTCACGCAATAATTGTTCTACAGCTACATTTTCAGCACTCTAAAATTACTGAATTGTTAAAAACAGCTTTTGCAATCTTCAGTTCTTCTTTTACAATAATAATAAAATAGTATATACCAAATTGTTATTATAACTTCATTACATATTTGAGTAAATATGTCATTTTTAGAAAACGAAGCAAGTGCTGGTACTACTCAAACTCCAAATTTTCGATAGCAATACACGGCATTGTTAAGAAGATTGTTGTTGTCAAATGATTTTTAAATTTATAAAATGTGATAAGAGTGAAAAACAAAAAAAAAAAAGGTGCTATTTATGCAACAGCAGCAAAAGACTGACGATCGCAATATTTCTTCTGATTAATGTATAATTAAACTAAAGTTAATAAAATATATTTGTAATTTTTTTTTGTTGCATGGTCAAAAAAGTATGAATCTTCAAATAACAAGTTTCTGATTTTAATTTCTTTATTCTCCAATGATCAACTATTGACATATGAAGAAAGCAGGCCAAAAAATGACAAAATCTTTTCCTCATCACTAATGAAATTTTATGACATTCTTTCTTGCTTTATGACCAAAATGAATCAAGAAATTCAAAAAAGAAACGAGGAGTTTCAGAGAAAGCAGTTGATATTGCAAATGTCTGTCTTCAATAAGAAATTTCTTATCACTGTCAGAAAGGACTCATCTTAAAGATTTTGCACTTCAAGAAGAATTTTTCAGCTGTTCCACTGTAATTTTGTCGAGTTAATCAAGTGAACTTTTGAAAGCTTTGTTGAGGTTTGTATCTACTTAGAAAAAAAAACTACAATAGTAATAATAAGCTCACATAAAATGGGCAAGAAACTTAACTTCACAGGAGGATCTTCGGTCCTCCTCTACTCCCCCTCCCCTTCGCTCCTGATTATCCCTACACCTCCTATATATCCCATTACTTTTTTATCCTGTTTTTTCCATGTAAAAATGTTGCAACGACAAACTGACAGCAGGAAATAGCACTTAAAAGTGAAAAAAATTAAACGAAAAGAGAACGATTTAACCGCTTTTTAATTAAGACTTTTCACCACATTATTAATTTTTTTAACGTTGTATTATACTTTGGTAAAACAGTCAAAAGCGAAACTTTCTAATTTTTTCTGCAAAATTTATTTATTTTTGTTTTTTTTTTTTACTTTTTCCTCTCTTTATAAATTCAATCAATCTGTTTTGAAAAAAAAAAAGTATTTGTTAAAAAGCTTTTTACATTCTTAGAAGTGGAAAAAAATTAGAAGAAAACTATAAGGATACAACAACAAATGTAAATGAATTTTTTTTCTTTTAGATATTATAATTAAATTTTTGCAACAATTATGAAGCAAAATAATTCACATAATTTGCTTAAAATTATTATTGCTTGAAAATGTTAGAATAATCAAATTGTTAAACGAA